ATATAGAATCCCAAAAAGGAACAGACCCACAGTTTACGATTTGGTATGCCAGATTACGTCGGGCTCACCAATGAAGATGCCACAAGTATTCAGTGTTTGACAACGCTTTAACCAGTAACACCTTCTAATATAGCTCGTACTCACCAAGAGAAATCAAAAGACAGAACCGAGGAGACTGGAAGATATATTTGATGACTATCAATATATCGAGAATCGTGTGATCTAATCTGGCTAGCGATTGCAGTAGATGTTGAGCACGGAGTTCCCACAGGCGATCTGGTGCGGATGCATGACCGAGCGCCTTTAGCTAGGTGAGTCCATTAAGACATGTGGTTAGCGTCCAATGTCGAAAACTTACAGAGCTATTTATTTTGGAGATTTATTTACCGCTACAGTACCATGACTTGTTATACGGAGAGCTTAACAAATTGTTCGGACAGATCAAGGTTTTAAAAAATAAGCTAGTCGAGTTGGTCTTCTGTCTCGGAATGATTGAAATCATGTATTAACCACGTCTAGAATGAATGTGCCCTAATTTGGAAAACTTGCAGTGATATTTTGCGAAATCACAGATCCACTTAGTTTTCTTCAGTAAATCTTCATGTACAAAATGGAAGTGAATATGGCTTTCTTGATATCATGATGACAATATTTACTGGAGGCAGGGTAACGCTGCAAGTCTGACCGATGTCCAGTTAGTACATTCATTCTAACAAACTTCATGGTTTTTTTCAGTTCGTCGGTCAGTCACAAAGTGAAACCAGTAACGTATGTGAAACGGTTCAATTGTCATAGACCATTAGCACAGAGAGATCAAAATGTCCGGCTAAATCTTGGAGTTGTGGAGGTATTAACAACACTAGTTCTGACATGAAATATTACACGTCTAAGTTACAATTCGAGAAAGTACAAATTAGTGAGATAATATTGCAAGGAATTTAGAATCTCAGAATATGGGGCAAACACAGAGGCGCCTGTGTCATTGCAAGTGATTTTGAGCCGTATCATTTGAAGTCTCTAATAATTGATTACGCTGATCACACGGACTCCAGCCAGACGGTCTGTACCTGGTAACATGGCTCAGTTCAATCGTCATTTGCTTCACGGACTGATGCCTTGTCTTGGTTTGGCCTCTCCTAGCTTTTCACTAGCCTACTCCTACACCAGACAACATCGACCGTCGTGGTAGGTGGTGACTGGGCATGCATAAGAAATGTCTAAACCACATAAGTTGTTGAAGTTTTACCAGCTCATCAATCGATTTGCCGTCCTTAACTAGTATCCTGTTTCTTCCTGTCCCGTTCTCCATGGGCCCTGATGTCTGACTCACTTTACGAGGCAGGAGTCTGCGAGAAACTTCAACTACTACAGACTCGCGAATTGCCAGGCCTCGATGACTTATCTTCCTCCGTTTTCAATGGCAGTGGTGAAGTTCTGATTAAAGAAATGGCTTAGTTGTTTTCATACTTCTAGCAGTTAGATAGTGCTTTAACATCATGGAATCGGCCGATAGTTGTCCTTATTCTTAAAAAAGGTTCATGTTACCTATACAATAACTATTGGGGAATAACTCTGTTTTTGGTTGCATCCAAATTATTATCTCCAGTCACGCTTTGCAGATTGTCTAAGACCTGGGAAAAATCGACTCACGAGGAGGAAGCTGGTTTACTTTCTTGCTTACTCTGTGGTCCCAAAATACACGAGCAATTTTTCGTAGACGTTTATGACCGAATAGTAGTAACTTACGAATATCCACTATTTCTAATGGCCATGTTTCACATCCAGAAGGTGAAGCGAAGCGAATCGGTGATTATAAAACTCGTCCTTTGGTTGGAAGATGGATATCTCACCTGCACCACAAGTGAAGCAAGCTCGTAAAAACTAATCGAGTTTTGCTGCTCTCCATAGCTTTTGATTAATTATAACCTGTTCGACTTCACTAAGAATTGGATGTAGGCTAATGGAAATGTGGTCGGCCCAAGTCCATCGTTGAGTCATTTTGGGTGCTCGCCACGTCAAGCGACGTTTATCCTTTTGTTTAAGGTCTGCATTTGGTAGAACTAAGCTAACATCTAGGCGTAATTTCAACAAAAGATGACCATTATTTATTCGCGTAGCCACGACATTGAAAGATTCGCCTAAGTGAATTTCGGTTTTCCTAAGTTTACTTATTTGGGCATAAAAATCAACCACCATCACATCCAGGTGCGTCGATGGTGTGACGTCCTGGAGCTCTTGTCAACAATGCCTGTTTTTCCATCCGGCACAAGGTTTGAACAAATATAGCTCAAACATGTCTGTAAAAGTGGCGTGTATCTGTCCTGGTGATACGTATTATTATTACGTTATTCAGAGCGTGGTTTCAGTAGATGAGGAAAAACATTTTGGGGTGCAGTGATAAAGATATACGAGGACTATTTTTTGGAATGGGAGAATTATTGAGGGTTTGGGAAAGGATTTGAACATCAACGCAATACTCTATTCAATCTTTATGTAACCCAGCTTATCAGTTTTCTAATTCCAGGAATCTTATGTGAAATCTTCATTACCTCTAAGATTATCATACAATTCACCTTATTTGTCTCTAAACCTCAGTTAAATATTGCATCACACTCTGCATATATGTTTTTGGATTCCAACACCAAATGACCTCCGGCCAGTTCCTTTCAATACATAGGTGGTTGTAAGCAGCTTATGAGACATCATGGAATTTAATGGATCCATATTATTCTGCATCCATCTTTCTTCCAGATTTATTCAAATTTATCAAAAGAATCAATTACATCAAATTTTAAGGGTTGATATTTTCTAACGCTCTTGTTTTATAACGAGAAATCAACTCCACTACTAAATGCCGGTTTTCCGAGGTAAACACCTTAATACTCTCATACCTCTTGACATTCAGCAGTAAAATGTCTCTCATGAACCTCGAATTGCTCCTTTAAGTTTTTTCGTCCTACATCCGACCTGCCTGGGATGATAGGACACGAAGGAACACGTATTTCAGTCAATATAGCTCCAACGAGTCATCACGAAAGATAAACTCTACTACCACATCAAGATAGTAGTTATGATTTTGTGAACCCTTGACATATACGTACGTATATGATCTGTATGTGATGTTGAAGTCCGCAAAAATTAATGGTGATTGTGTTTAATAGGCATTGGAAAGTTTGAACAATTAGCCGATACATGTGGCCAGCTTGAACTTAGAAGATGGATGGTCAGACAAGAATACAAGCGCCTTAATACTTTCGTTTCGCTCAAAGTTAAGAGCAATTGTGAGCTCTGAAATAGCTAAGAAGTTCTATTTTCAGTCAAGATCAAAATTTCAGCACTAGTGTGAAAGTATAGATTGGTCATTTCAGGGTCGACGTTAGACTTAATAATCGACCACCTAAACGTATTTTTCAGTTTGTAAGACCAGAAAAACCAACAATATCACAAAGGTCGAAAGTTTATTTCAGGTAATCGTAACGGGTAACTGTTTTTTAAATCATATATATCATTATTATAAATCGACCATATCACTACTTAAAAGCATAGTGTACGACCCAGCAAACTAGGTAAACAATTCGGTTTCGCTACGAACGATCACAAGTTAAAGATTTCAACACTCCAGGTTCATCATTTAAATTAATATGGTTTCAACGGATTTTTAAATTTTATAAGTTACTCTCACCATTTCTAGTAATTTTCGTTGCTACCATCAATGTTATTTCATGACGATTGTTCGACACATTTCGTGCTACGTTTTGCACAAATTCGTCCAAAATAATTGTTTGTTGTAAGATTTTATATACCTGACTATGTTATACAACTAAGCCAATCACATAAAATCTTTTAAACCGATGTCGAATATCGTTTCACTAATGGCAGCTTTGTGGAGGTCAATGATATCTGGGGCTGAAATTTCTTAAGATTGCTAGGAAATTTTAACTATGCCGTTGTATTATAAAACTGGCATTATGTGTTCATCTTATTACGCAAAATATCAACTCTATTCAATAAATAGTTTATGTGCAACAGAGTTTTACAGAGGTTTGTTCTCTTCTGGCGTCTTTTGAAGAAAAAAGAATAAAATCATATTTCACCCGAAACAGTGAATAACAAACACCACCATTTCACCGATATGCTCACTGTTTTACATCTAAAAAACTTGAAGTAAGCCTATACTACTCCCTTTTGTTTAGCTAAAATATCGTTTATCCACAGAAGCAGAGTGACTCTGATTCTGAAATCTTTTAACAATGGTGATAATTTGATGTGTGAGACTTCCTTAATAGCCTTACCAATGTCAATAAAGTTCACACACACGGTTAACTTTTCATCTTTCGGAACACAACAACGTTCTAGTACTGTTAATGGATTTGTGAGATACAAGTACTTCACATGAGTAACTCAAGAATAAAACTGTAGTTCTCTTAGTAAAGTACCCCTCCTTTAAGTTTTACTGACTACTTTATTTCAAGGAATGAGTGCTTCGTTGTATATTTTAATCAGTAGTAATAAAACATAACAATCCTATTTTGCGTTGTTCAATTTATAGTTCATATTCAATACCTCGTAAAGTGTAGTTGAAATCGAATTACTATTTCAAAACTTTACTTTTGTTTCAGTGGCACCTCTTTATTCAGAGTTTGCCTTCTAAACTTTGACGCTTCAGATTTGACAGTCAAGTTTACACTTTTTTGAAACGGTCGGGATTTGATTTGTGTGCCAACAAAACAAGTGTCATGACAGACTTTTTGGGTGTATAGATTAAGAATGTACGTTCGAGCCATGTGTATAATCTATAAAGCTTATGATTACACATTGTTTGTGTTTAAGCAATTTGTCTACAGTGCATACGTGTTACGACGTAATAATGCTACTGCACAAACATAGGGAAATTAAAGAATACCGGTTTGCAAATTAGCAGATATTTATACAAAGCAGAAAACAACTCAATGATAGTTCAATGATAAAAAAAATAAGCACAAACTATTTGAGAAACAGTACTCTTTTTGACATTTTAACCGAACTTATTTCAGTTAAAGTAAGAACAGTAGTCTAGGAAATTAAAGAACTATCAGAACTAAAAGGTTTACTCAAAGAGGAATAAACTGATTTACTTTTCAGCAGATAAGTCATAGTTAAAGAACTGAATATACTATTTATTCTATGGATCTATAGATTTGTTAGATAGAACTAAGTATCTGGTAGCGATGCATTGTTAATAATATAAGGTAAGAATTCTTCATTGAAATGGCTTGACTTTCAAACAGTTTTTAAAAAAGTTACAGAAAGCCATTTTATCTTCATTTGTATTTTCTGACTTCAAGAAGTAGTAAAGTTCTACAAAGGAAAAGAGTCACTGAATAAAATAGGGTTTTGTGTCGACTTTTCAGTTTGAAGTTAGTTTGAGATCACTGAAGTATAACTGTAAACAAAGAGACGCATGGAAACTGTCTTATCCTGGTTTCGATTCCCCAACTTATGTAAAGAGAAACGACTTGTAGCGCTGCTGAACGTAGGAAGCCATCAGAAGAGTGCTTACAGACGGCATGCTGGTTAAGAATAAAATTCTGGCTATGCTACGTATCCGTCGTAACAACTAGTCAGTTTACGTCGATATATCGAATAAATTTCAAAAATATCATCGAACTACTTCACTCCTGACTTCTGGTTTGATTGGGTTTAGCATCTTTCAGTTGTAAAGGCGTTACGAACAAAATCGTTGTCAAACTCTGAATATCCGTGACATCATCAGACCTATGGTGTTTGTATTCATTGGTATTGAAGTATGTACCTCTGTTATTATTCAATAACAGATTATATTACGAACTATATAAAGTCGAAATAGTGACATATGAGATCCAACCTTCGCAGTCTAGAGTATCACACTCATTCCAAGTCCCAAATGTCCTGGATTTGATCCGTAGGTACAAACTTCTAAATAGCTTGAAAGTAGAACGAATCAGCTATCAAATCCCTATTGATTTTCATTTGCTATCTAGATCATGGTGGTAAAACGTGATGTGGAAAATCTTGAAAATGTTGTTTGAAAGTTATTATATTAACTTTAACATTGGTTCTGAACACAAGTTGATATCGATTGTATTCTTATGCAACTTTACCTGTTTTTTAACTATTTTACTCATCCTTAAACTCTTGGTTATGGGATAACAACGTTAGTTCATGCAACTTTGCATAAACATTATAAATACCAAATTACTTATGTTAAAACTTATACATCAACTTGTGTTTACCTGCTACAGTGACAATTGTCCCAGCCATAATAGCAACCGAACTAACAAAAACGAACCAAATAAACGCCGAAATGATGTTAATTTTTTCTTTTGGCCTGTTTCTGTACAATATTCCTTCGTAAATTCCACCTCTTCCATATGGATGTACATCAATATCTTCTTGTTCTATTAGCATTTCTATTGCAAGCAAAGATAGTCTAAATTACAGATGGAAAATTATAGATTAATGTTAAAGTAACCATTTTAAATACTCACAGTTACCTATTTTGTTGTTCCAAATCCATCATAACACATTGTTTTGGTAAATTTGGATCTAATCCCAAGGCTTGCCTTAAGGCCGTTTTTAGTTTCTCTAGGTTTTCACTATCTGAATGAGATTGATGGCAACCACCAACATGATATATATTGTCGATGCTAAGCTTTTCGTGTCCATTCTGCTGATTAAGATCTGATTCTTTTACAATACCCTAAAAAAGAAAAATTACCATACTGGTGGAATGGCGCAAACCACATTGACCACAGTAAACTATTAGACCGAAATACAAAAATGTCCTTATACAAACCCTTACATTTTAATAATGTAATAATTATACAAACAAAACAACAGTAACTGTTGAATAACGGACCAAAATAAAGACGAAATAGTAAAAATTCATATAAGTATTAAGAATAAATAGTGGTTGATGCAAAAAACAGTTTGAAACAGAAATAAAGTAGACAATAAAAGTAATCATATTTGTTCAGTAAACAGTTTTCTCTGGAATAAAAGATACATTGAAAATTTATTAATCCCTTGAAAACGGCATGGAACTGAACGTGGTAATTCTAAATCTAAGATAATTAATAAAACTCCCATACCTACCAAATGGTTTATACTCACCACCAAAATAATTGATAACATAAAGTTTAAATTTAAACATATTAAGAAGACTTATTCACTAAGAAAAAGTGGAAAATCTACCGGATAACATTTGTTCCTAAATACATTACCGTAGACTATTTACCGCCTTTTTAACCTATCATTTGCTTCTTTTATTTATTGTCCATAAAATTACTACGTATTATGTACATTAGAAAACCATTTAATTAGGTCAAATATTTGATATGAAAGTGAATATTACTTTCATACTAGAAGATTGATAAGAAAATATCATAATAAATTCACATAGTATTGTTTACTTGAATCTACCTTTTAATGTTTAAGACTGCAATTTATCAGCCTCTTATTGCTTACTGTGCATATTACCTCGATATTGCCTTAAGTCACAAGCACCATAAGCGAACATGGATAGTAGCTAGCAGTGGAATACAGAACACGTGTTTCGTCCTATTTGGGACTCACCAGCTGGATATTCCTGCATTGCAGAGTTGATGTTCACTCTGAAACTCAGTATCGTTCACTTCAAACACCATCGCGTTATCCACTTAGTTACTGAATCCTGATAGCCACTTGCTTGTTCAATGGGATGATGTCTAAATTCTCTTGGTATTGCTTTGCTTGTATCTTCCCACTGATGTTTAGGACTGCAAGTGATCAGTCACTTATTGGCATATCTGCGATACTGGATTCGAGTCTCATAGTGAACGTCAACTCTGAGATACAGGTACATCAAGCTGACGACTCCCAGGTAGGGTGATACGTGCGTCCTGGATTCCACTGCTAGCCACTAATCATATTTGCTTATAAATATCATAATAGTTTGAATACTTAGGAGGTGCGAAGCGTTGACGATTCTGTATTTATGTGAACATCTAATAATAATTGATCACGGTTTCTTATGATTATATTGGCATATTAGCTTGGATAACATACTCTGAATTTATTACTTTCACAATAAACAAATTAGTAAACCTCAGCAATTGCTTATCTCTCTTTCTCAGTAATAATTGGAATCTGTTATTCAAAAAATCCACTTAATCATTTAGTCTCATTGACTATACTGTACTACATTCAGTATGATTTAGTTTCATCATCCAAATTCGAAATTTTTTGCTCTTTCCAAAATGAAAGAGAAGTTTGGACTTTTCAGATTTTGATCTTTTTAGCTTATTCTAATAAATTTGAGAGTACTTGTCTTCCAATTGATATTTATAAAAACATCCGTGAAACTGTAAAAACATTTGAATAACTAAGGAAGTTGTGGGTTATGAAGCACAGAAAATAAATCTTTATGTAATATGATCATTTTTTCTCTAAACTTTTGTTATTTTATTAGGCGAAACTAATAGGTGTAAGCAAAATTATCATCAGATATATCAAGTTTCAATAAATTGTCGGTTTAAAATCGTTTGAAAAACAAGAATAGAGAATTTATTGTATATTTTTACTCCATGTTAAGGATGAGGATTATCTTATTGTTGAAATCTTTATTTAATTCAATAATATTTATTGAAACAAGCCTTTCTGAAAGAAAAGTTTAATGAAAGAAATAAAAATAAACCATTGCATACTTTATACATGAATCCTGATAATGTTCTAAATCTGAGACTTGCAGTCCTAAACATCAGTGGGAAGATACAAGCAAAGCAATACCAAGTGAATTTAGACATCACCCCTTTGCACAAGCAAGTGGCTATCAGGATTCAGTAACTAAGTGGATAACGCGGTGGTGTTTGAAGCGAACGATACTGGGTTCTAGTCCCACAGTGAACATCAACTCTGCAATGCAGATACATCCAGCTGACGTATCCTAAATAGGACGAAACACGTGTCCTGTATTCCACTGCTGGCCACTATCGATCTTTGCTTATAGTGCTTGTGACTTAAGACAATATCGAAATAATCCGCACAGGATGCACATATGCCAACATGAGACTGATAAATTGCAGTCTTGAACATTAAAAGGAAGATTCAAGTAAAATAACACTAAGTGAATGTTCAAAATCTGTTTAAATAAATGGGTAGATCAAAAGTTCATATAAATATCCAAATGATACGACTAGGAATTACACTTTAAATCATTAGATAACGAAGAAAAAAACTTCTACCACTACTAGAATAGTTTGATCTATCTTAATATTGATAGCATTTTATAGTCAACGAAATAGGAAAAAAATGGAAATTTCACCTTACAAAGCCTTTTGAATTGTAGTGTTTAACTTTAAATTTCACTGCAAATCTGTAATTTTATCCATTGATTGTTCAGTCCCGATAGTCTAGGTAGCCTTGATTGATAATTTAATCATTTACTGTATAAATAATTGAAAATCACTTTCACAATATGTTTATTTTCGAATAGTATATATTATCTATAGTAGTGTTACAATCTATGGATTAAACAGTCCATTTGTTAAACTTTCAACGTCATATAAAATGAGATCATCAGAAAGAATCTCTAAAATTTGATACTGCTTGTAAATGAACTACAATAGTTTTATGATTCACAGTTGTTATTTAGTGGGGATTTGATAATATTATCTATTATCAGAAGGGGTTTGTGGAGATTTTAGAAATTTCACTGATCGTGGATGCGCACTGCTGAGGAGTCCTATACTAGGACGAAACGGCCGTCCAGTGCTTCCAGCTTTTCCATGGTGGGCTAGCTTTAGTTGACTCATAATTTCAACCTGTGAAATGATTAAAGGTTGTTGCAAACACCATAAATGTCGCTAAATGAATTTTTAATATCAATAAAAATTATTTTCTATATTGTTTGGATAAAAATATATTAATTTTGTGATAAATTGGGTTTATTGCAGTATAAGATGCTTCAAACAGCATAGAATTTATGTTTTATCCATCAAATCAAGCGATAATTCATAAATTAATTTGATTAGAGTAAGAATATACAGTAAACGTTTTAGAAGACATCACTGATAAGTGTAAGTTTCGACCAAGACTTATAAGACCTACGTTAATTGTATTTACTTACACTAAATCCTATACAGGATGTCATATCGATATTGTACTAATTTATCAAACTGAATGTAAGAATCTGAAGATCTCGATGAGAACTGAAGGTTCTTCACTGACTAATAAACATATTCACAGAAATCAAAGATGTTAGTATAAATCTTTATTTACACATTTTATTACAGTGACATGTAAAATTTTAAAAAAAACGGTTGATTAATTTCAAGTTCAAACATTCAAATTCTTTGTTAAGCATAAATAAACAACTTCACATACAATTTGTATAAATACACATTACTTACTGTTTTCAGATTTTCATCCATTAAGAAAACAAACAACCAAAATTCACTATACTAGAACAGTTTTAGTGATGAGTTATTTTATCATACCTTAATATATTTATATACGTTTAACAAATGAATTATAGGTATTTATCCAAAGTAGCTAAGTCCATATTTATATAGTCTAATATTACAAATGGGAGGAGTTTGAAATTTAATCTGTAAATAGAAGGAAATAGGAGTCTATTTTGTTTACATCAGTATAAATTATTATTATTGAATTTTAATGAACATATTTTATGTTGATTATAAGTAGAATAAAAAATAACTACTGAAATAAGCATAACATTTACTACTTAAACTTCTATGGATTTCAGTAAACTAAAGTAATGATGAAAATTTCAATGATTTTTCTAAATAATTCTTGATAATAAGCATAATTAAAAGTAGTGAGTGTAATATAAAAGCCGGACACTATTAGAAACAACCTACTGTGGGAGAGAACAAACCAGATCCCAGTGTAGGAAGAAATCAGGAAGAAGAGCTGGAAGTGGATAGGACATACATTGAGGAAAGCACACAGCTGCGTCACAAGACAAGCCCTCACTTGGGATCCTCAAGGCCAAAGGAAAGGAGGAAGACCAAAGAACACATTGCGCCGAGAAATGGAGATAGACATAAGAAAAACGAACAAGAATTAGATGGAACTAGAAAAGAAAGCCCAGGACAGAGTGGGTTGGAGAATGCTGGTCTGCGGCCTATGCTCCATTAGGAGTAACAGGAGTAAGTAAGTAAGCAAGTACGAACCAGTAATAAATAGATCTTAACGGTACGTACACTAGAAGTCACTAATGGACTAGAGCTTAAGTTAGAAATAAGACAGTATATGTATTACAATGTGACAGCAATTAAGAGCTGAACGAATTGCAAACTATTCGTTTTTGATTGAGATCATGAATGGATTGATGTTAGACCACCAATGATAACCTAGAAGCACTGGACGGCCGTTTCGTCCTATTGTGGGACTCCTCAGCAGTGCGCATTCACGATCCCTCAAGCAGGATTCGAACCCGGGGCCTTCAGTCCTGCGCGCGAACGCTTAACCTACTGTACCGCTGAGCCGGCATCCAATGGTGTCAATGTCTAACCTCAATCAATCCACGAAATTGCGCGACCATCTTCCATTGTACTGAGGTAGACACATATTTCTTCCCGACGCAGATTAGCTCAATGACGGTCTAGCATCAATCGGTTCATGATCTCAAACAAAAACTTAACAATGTCCACAACCCCTAAACTGATGAAAACTAATCGTTGTTAGAAGCAAATATCAAATTTCAGATGATCTTTTGATGATAGTGTTGTGGTGATAGGCCTAATAAACCTATTTTGTAAATAGTTTTTGATAGCTTTTGCATTTATTTTGTTTATTTCCACAATCTGTACATTTATCATTAAACGATTTTACTTGTTGTTTAAATATGTGACCTTGACAACGAACTTCCTTCCGTTTTGAATTACACATAGCACGGCATTGTTAACTGTGCATTAATAAATACACTCTTATACACATGCCTCGTTCTATCATGCCTGTGGATATAACAACTAAACTACTGATTAACTATCAACTATATTTATAGACTGTTGTGACTTTCTTATTGTATTCTACGTCGAGAAAACTAGCTGGAGCCATATTTACCTCATTGAAATTATTAATTGTATATAATTGGTACCAAGCACAACGGAACAGGCAACAGCCAGCTGATTTAAGTAACGTCCCTGGACTTTTGTTTTGCGTTATTAATTTATAAGTTGTTTATTGTTATATTAAATTTTGGACGTAATAACTTAACTGCTATTCCTTTTTGGTTAATATACTGTTTGGTACACCACATTGTTTTTTTTTTCAAATACAAAAGCTGTGTGTTTTTATGGTTTTTTATTGTGTATTTATGTGTTTAGTTTTTAATGAAAGAGGAAGAAAGTATTTGTAAAATTTCAGCGAATGAATTTGAAGTAAATTCAACGTTTCGCCTGGCGATCTGGTTCAAGCTTTTTCAAGGAAATATAATCAAACATGAAAATTATCGAATATAAATAGGTACATGCTTCTCTGGTTTGCTGTATACTGAATAAGTCATCCAATCAACGTGAACAATGTTTAAAGTAGGTATTTACATTAGTGTGTAAGAGACATGTTGTGTGAAACGAAAAGTGGTAAGATAACAGACTGTGTGTATACGTAAATGAGAAGAAAACATAACATTTTATATATGATATAAATCAAAAATGTCACAGCATGCATAAAATGAAAATAAATAAAGATAAAAGAATGAATTCAATGAGGAAGAATGTATTTGTAATTGAAAGTTTGTGTTATTTTAATGTTCCAGTCAGTTGTTTAACATATTCAGATAAGATAACTTATTTGAACCGTTGAATGAAATATCTGTTAATTAGTTAATACGATATAGATATAGTGGAATAAGGAATTCAGGTTTACTTATTAATTATTAGTCGCCCATCATTATTTTGGTACTGATATATTTCGTCCGCCACAGATACGTATTCAGGTTCGTGCACGTTTGATTGCTGACGTTAACAATGAAGAACTCAAGCAAAAGTTAACTTTGATGTAAATAGCCACAGACTTTCTCATCAATTAAATGACGTTTGGTGGAAAGCACAGTTGTGTAGTGACTCACGTTTATCACGAGAACACGACTGGTTTAATAAAAACAATTATTATTATAACCAACTGTACCAGTGTTTGTTTTAATGTGCTTTTATTTGACTGTGCTAATGACAGCTATTTTCTGCTTCCATTCTTTCGCTTACACTTCGATTGTAACTTCGCGCGAATTCGGTTACGTTCTGTAACCAAGCTTGTATTCTGGCACGATCTCGGTATCCTTTCGATGCCACGAGATCGCCAGCGAATACATCTCGATTTGGTCCATTAATTGCCTTCTGATATTTGGCTTCTCGGGGATTTTATGGATCTATTTGGTTACGTCCAACCCTCGCCTTCTGATTTATCTGGCACGTGTTTCCTGGTAGCGGTGTTCATAGTTAATCTTCAACACGACGCCACGCTACAGTTGGATATACTGGCTTTTAAACTACATTACTCTCATCATTGTTGAAGGGAGCCATCGAAAATTATGTTTCAGCTGTTCCGACTTAAGGCGCACAAAATTATTTTTCAGCCAGGGATTGGTTCAGTACTGAATCGTGTTATGCTAACTATGATATACATCCCAAAAACCGTTGCAGAGTATGTAACGACAGTTTACACAACCACGTTATAGTTGGATAGATACTTGTGCAACATAATTATAACGATTATTCAGACAGAAACCATGTGTTTTAGTTGTCCTGGTTTGCAGTAGAATCAATATTTATGTATATGTAGTGGCATTGGGCCCTAACCACACAATCATCAAAGCTGAACACGAAGCGCTTGGGAAAACAGATGTTCACTATTTAACGCGGAGAAAAACCCAACGATGGAGAAGGCGGGAAGAATGAATTGAATGAATTCGAGTTGATCGGATGGCATGGCTTGGTATAGTATTCTAATTATAGTATGAATTAGGAATTCCAGGATCAACGCAATTGAATTAAGAAGACACAGGCACAAACGAATGTATTGTATTTAGAATTCGAAATCGAGCATTCAACAAGTACAAAAGAATCATTAGTTAATTCAAACACCACATCCGCCACAGCTTAAATAGAAGTATAAGTGTTTGTAATCGGTTGTACGTCTTCTTGTTAAGTTCATTCTGAGTCTGTCCGACATTGTATAAGATAAAAACTTTGTAGTATCTAGAAAGTGCTCATTAGTATTGGAATTAACAAACGAAATCGGAACAGACTCACCTGGAATTGTATACAACCAGCATGTCGGTTTTGTAATGAAATCATTAATATCTAGAATTCGAACCATAGATTTTTCAACACTATCCCCCCCCACGAAATAATGTTGGATCTTTATACTCCCAAGTTATGAATAATGTGGCTTCATTTAAAACATATATCTCACATTGTTTAGAGTAAACATTAGAACTGTTTTTGTGATAAGAGTAAACAGCAGTTGATATGAAATCATCCGAAATATAATAAAACTCGAGGTCACTTAGTACTCGTGCTTCGCATTGGGCAGGTTTTTCACGAAGATCAAATACATCATGAGGATAGGTAATATATGATATGACATCAGGATTTGATTCTTCTGAAATATTCTCATGAAATTCATCAGGACTGTCATTGCAGAGCGTAGGATCGTTAGAAAAATCAGCATCTATCCAAACCACATCAGGTTTTCGATCATGATTAGGTTCATTTAACATATTTTCCTCAGAATTGCAAGTAATTTCATTAGAAATATGTGAATCATTAGGAAAAGTCATACTTGGTACAATAGCATGAGAATTCTGATAAATCGGTTGATTAGGAAATGTTGTCTCACAAGAATTCTGGATTTCATTTAACTCTGAACTGCCATATGACTCTGCACTGTCTTTTGAAATCGTTGATAAAGATAAATGATCATCATGAATACTCGACTCAGTAGAATCAGAATTACAAGACTTAATATTAATTGCAGTAAGATGAACATTAGCATTACAAACTGACTGAACTTGTCCAATATCACGACATTTGAAGCATTTAGAATTATGAAATTTACATGAATTAGAAGAGTGGAACTTGCAACAGGACAAACACTGACCAAACTTGTCCCCATCCTCGTGAACTGCATCCAAATTCAATGAATTGTCTGCATAACCTTGAGTATGCACTAGGTTGAGATGACGTAGTAATGTAGTGGACTTTTTTATATCCTCATGAATCATTTTACGAAATCTTCCTCCTTTACGACATTTGAAATTTGTATACTGAGCATAGTCTAGCAGTAGATCCTTGAGAGCTGTATAAGAAAGCGAAATGGGTTTTTCCGGCATAGCCAGAGTTCTTAATAAGCTGTATGCTTCTTTTCCAATGAATGTGAGGAAGTGTGCCACAATATTAACATCCTCATCATCTTCCTTGGTCATAGCCCAGATTTCGAACCTTTCAAAGTAATCTTCAAAAGCTTCTGAAGTTGAATGAATATCTAACTT